CTCGCACGGCTGCAGGCGTTGGAGAAACAGCCAGCTGCTGTAGCAGCTGCAGGGCCTTCCACCCTTACCACCCGTGTGCAAGTTTTGGAGGATGATGTCAGCAACATCAAGCGTGTGCATCACGACTTTCGGACGTCGCAGCAAGCAACGAACTTGCAGTTGGAGACGCAGGTCCAGGCTGCTGCCACCGTGACGCCCGCCGCCGCATCCTCCCGGCGCCCACCCAAGCTGGATGACATTCCCGTCTTCTGCGATCAGTCCAAGACGAAACTGATCCCGTGGTGACGCTAGTTTACTCTCAGGCTCGACATGCACCATGTCCCGAACAACGATCGATATCCGTGCTTGTACCACCGATCTGGTGGTGCGTGTCAAGCATGGCTGGACAAGATCTTGACCAGCCAAGGCGTAGCATTGTCGGAACTGCACACCAAGCTCACTTGGCAAGCGTTGACCGACGCCTGGAACAAGCGATTCCAAGTGGAGCCGCCCTAGCAGCTCACCTTACGGTGCGCCCGTTCTCTTCGTTCGGAAGAAGAACAAGGACCTTCGACTTTGCATTAACTACCGACGCCTCAACGCGCAAACCATCAAGAACGCGGGGCATCAACCTCGCATTGACGATTTGCTTGAGCGGTTGGGCAGCGCCAAGTACTTTTCGAAGTTGGACCTCAAGTCGGGCTACCATCAGATTTCCATCCGCCCGCAAGATCGGTAYAAAACCGCGTTTAAGACGCGATATGGGCATTTTGAGTGGGTAGTTATGCCTTTTGGCCTCACCAATGCCCCGGCCACCTTTCAGGCGGCCATGACCACCGAGTTTCGCGCTATGTTGGACCGCTTCGTTTTGGTCTACTTWGACGACATCCTCGTCTATAGCCGAACTCTAGAGGAGTATCTCGAGCACCTTTGTCGTGTTCTAGAGACTCTTCGGTCAGCCTGGTACGAAGCTAACCGCGACAAATGCGAGTTTGTCCGGCAAGAGCTTGAATACTTGGGTCATTTTGTCTCTCCCGAAGGCATTCGTCCGTTAGCGGACAAGATTCAAGCCATCCAGGAGTGGCCCGAGCCGAAGAATGTGACGGACGTCCGATCCTTCCTCGGCTTGGCCGGTTATTATCAGCGCTTCATCAAGGGTTACTCGAAGATCGCGGCCAACCTAAGCAAGTTACAAAGCGAGGARCGGCCTTTTGACTTCGACGACGACGCGCGCCATTCTTTTGAGACACTCAAAGAGGCCCTCTTGTCCGCCGAGGTGTTACATATTTACGACCCGCTTCTAGCTACGCGCGTCACTACCGATGCGTCGGGCTATGGCATTGGGGCCGTCCTTGAGCAGCACGATAGCACGGACTGGCACCCGGTCGAGTACTTTAGCAAGAAAGTATCTCCCGTGCATTCGATCGACGACGCATGGAAGAAGGAGCTTCTTGCCTTCGTCCACACCCTCAAGCGTTGGCGACATGTCCTCCTTGGTCGGAAAGCATTTCGATGGGTAACGGATAACAATCCGTTGGTATTCTACAAGTCGCAAGACACGATTAACAGTACCATTGCCCGTTGGATGGCTTTCATCGACCAGTTTGACTTTTTCCCCGATCACATTCCCGGGAAGTCAAACTGTTTTGCGGACGCCCTCTCACGGCGACCGGATCTTTGCACCGCAATCTACTCTACCTTCGAGATCGACGACGACTTGCGGGAGAGCTTCATCCGCGGCTATCAAGCCGACCCCCACTTTCGCGACAAGTACGCGAATTGCTCCTCTCTGAATCCAGTGCCTTCGCATTATCGGATCCAAGAGGGCTACTTACTTGTGCATTCACRWGGTAAGGATCTTCTTTGTGTGCCGAATGATTCACACTTGCGCACACGRCTTCTTGGCGAGTTTCACGATGCGCYCGCCTCCGGACATTTTGGTGTCAACCGTACACTTGGCCGACTTCGCCAGCGGTTCTATTGGCCCGACCTTCTCAAGGACGTCACCCGCTATTGTGAGTCGTGCGAAGTCTATGGGCGTTGCAAGGCACGCACCCATCGTCCGTTCGGCGAGCTACACCCATTACCAGTGCCCCTTGGGCGACGGGAAGCAATTGCTATGGATATCACCGGCCCCTTCCCGAAGCACAAGACCGGCGTTGATGGGATCCTCACGGTCGTCGACCGCCTCACCAAGTACGCCATGTTTTTGCCTTGCCGCTATCACGCAAAGGCACCGGAGTTAGCCGAGGTCTTATACACCGGTTGGATTCGCTCCAAGGGYTACCCCAAGGAGATCGTTTGCGACCGGGACACTCGCTTTCTCTCCGACTCTTAGGTCGCCCTCATCAAGCGATGGGGCTCATCCTTGAAGCCGAGTTTGGCTCGCCACCCGCAAACCGATGGTCAAACGGAAAGGGCGCATCAGACCGCTCAAGTCCTTCTCTGCACTCTCATCCGTCCCGACTAAGTTGATTGGGCTGAACGCTTGCCAGACGTCGAGTTGGCTTACAACTCATCGATCCACCCGGCTATCGGGATGTCGCCGTTCGAGTTTGAGCATGGTTCACCCATCTCATCGCCGCTGGACGCTACTTTGCCGCACACAGCCGAGAGCGACGACCATCTTCCGTTCCTTCGTCGCATGCAAGAGCTTCTTGTCAAGGCACGGGATCAGATGTCGAAGACGCAAATACGGATGAGCCATCAAGCCAACCGCAATCGCCTTCCTTGCCCGTTCCGCGCCGGCGATCTGGTTTGGGTCTCCGCAGCGGAGTTCAGCCTTGAGCAAGACATCTCTC